TGTTGGCCTTTGTGCTTACAACTGGTTATTTCTGCTTGCGTTCCCAGCTAACTGTCTTTTCTCTCTCTAGTAGCGTTACCTGCTCTATTATTCCCATCCCTTTACATTTTTTTTTTTATTCTTTATTTTTGGTATGCAGGTAGGTACAACAGTGCCTGTATCGCCACAACAGCATCAACAGGCTCAATTATCATAGTTATAACAGTTGCGTGGCATGTTAAGTTTTTTTAAATAAAGTAAGTAATGGTAGACTAAACAAGCTATTATCAATATAGCTCTAGGCTCAACAACAAATTTTGTTCCTTTCTAGGCATTCATGACATTCCTAGGTACTTACAGGGTTAATAATATGTTGAGTGATTTAACAGTTATTTTTCAAGCTATGACAACAGCATTCTCATATTAGGGTTATGTAGTCGCTATGAAACAGGTTGGCAAGTTAATGACACTTATACTGTAGGTACCCATATCGAAGTAAGCTTGTAGTGAGTAACTTGTACGAGGTTCTGATATATGTGAACTAGTTAAAACATAAAAAAGATTAATCATTACGTTAGCTCCGGTTAGGTCACTGAGGGGAACTAAATAGATGAGTAAATGCAATTTGCTGAAATTCGATCAAGCATAAAATTAACTTATGTATATTAATATTGCCTCTTTTGGTACCGGCAAGCTGGGTATGGCTGTAAGTCCTGAGGGGGGACATGGTTACCCCGCTCGAGGGCACACGGCACGGTCAGCCAATGCCTCGGCAGAGCCATACCGTCCCTGGAGAATCCCGATTTCTTCTGGGTGCATCTCTGTGGCAGATCAAGCTGTGGTTTTCATTTGGCTGCTCGTTTGGAGTCTATGCAGCGTCTGGAAGGTGGAGTGCCCCTTCGGCCCTGGAGCTGTGTGAGGGCTGGTACTGTCTGACCACGATCCTGGAGTCCTGTAGGGTCCAGGGACTCCCCTGTTGGGGTGGTGCGTCGGGCCTTCTGTGGGTCAGGTGTGTGTCGTCGCGTTTTCTTTGCGGCCCTCCGCTTGTGTGGCCTGTACCTGTGGGTCTGGAAGCGGCCGTCCTCCCACCCTACCATCTCCTGTAGGCCTCAGCCCGCTGTCACGGTTCCCGGGTGTTCCAGGTGTCAAGTTTGGTATCCGCGTATATATGCGCCGGCCTCCCCAGTCTGTAGGGCTTTTTTAGGAAGGAGTCCCAGCACTGTGATCCGAGTTATTACGCTTTTAGTGTCCGTGCAGCAGGAGCTCGTGCAAAGCATGTCTTGCTTGCTTGCTGGTCAGGCTCCACCCCCTTTACATTTTTTTGTTGCTGCTGCTGGGCTCTTTCTGCTTTGACGTTTGAAGTCTTCACTTGTAAAGTCCATTGAAGCTACACTTAGACAGCACCGTTGACCTTGCTGCTAAAACATCCCACTGGCATCTTGCTGTTGGAACAGCCCCTGTGCTTATATCTTTAATCTTAAAGATAAGTGCTCGTCTTCATAGACTCAAGAATTGGTACATATGTGCTCCACTCCTATACTGTCTCCAACATTCTCACCTTATTTGTAATGTTCTCGAACAGTAAATTAAATAAGCAGATTATGGTTTTAAGAACTTCAACAGTAATCTGCCAAGTTAAATTTAGCGGCTTCTAGTGGGTTACGTATTTTATAATTTTTTTTACAGGAGAGGCTACTGTACAAACTTGATGAGACACTTAAAGATGTGTCCAGTCTTAAAGGGACTTGCTGTGGATTGAATGCTTTCCTTTTTTAAGGCCACTAATGCTGTCCATACGCTATGCTTACCAAATATCAAGCACATGCATCTGGGTATCCTGCTTTTTCTTACATCATGCACTTTGCATGCTTTTAATACACTTTTTGGAATCAGGGATGTATGTAAACCTGCTAATGCAGGTGCATGTCTTAGCCACTTTAGTATGTTAGAAGAAATTAGACTTGTCTAATCTTTGGGAAAAGTTGTAATAGAAGATATTTAGAGAGAAAACATTTTTAGTGCATTTTCTCTGTTTAGAAAATAGAAGTGGAGCCAAGTATCAAGTGGAACAGATGCATATGATATGACCGCTCTGCAGTTTGACAAAAATACAAACTATTTCTTGAACATTACCGTGCCAGACAGGCCTTATCTGTTCCTGAGTTGCTTCTTCACATTATAAGGAAGATATCCAGCAAGCGGCGTATGCCACCCATAAGTGAATCGTCACATAAAGGATTTGCTATGCCACACCCTAAGGCTGAAAATGGCACTGCTAATTAAGACTTATACCTCAGCCTTGGAGGATAGCAAGGGTGACATGATGAAAATGTGTCAGACTCCCCCTCTACAGCAACCAATCTCTTTGGACAAAGAACAGAGCACTTATTTTTATTAAGAAGCACACTAACCCCTTAACGACTGCTGATGGTTCAGGACCATCATCGGAAAAATCCCCTTGAGGACTGATGACGGTCCTGAACCGTTATAACTGTATTATTTACTTACCTGATCGTCGGCGGCGATCGGCGTTGGTCCCGGTGTGGGAAGACTGCCTGACAGCTCAGATAGTCTCCCCTCAGCCACGTGATCGCTCTAACAGAGCGGTCACATGGCCGCAATAGGTGTCCAAGTACCTACCTGCCTGTGCTGACGTGTAAAATAAAAAAAATATATAGTTAATTAATAAAAATATACTTTATATATGTTATGTCTATATATTAATATGAAAATACACATATAATTAAATTACACATGTGTATATATAATATATAATAACTATATATATTGCATATATATTATTATAAAATACACATAATAATTAAATTAAAACAAATTACAAAAAAGTAAAAAATAATTTAAAAAAAATTATATATATATATATGGCATTTTATTCTAACTGTGTTTTGATATTAATATATATATATATATATATATTTATATCAAAATATACTTAGAATTAAATTATATATACATCTATGTATATATAAATAAATCGAAATAATACGAAATATATATATACATATCCATATACAAAATTACATACATAATTTCATAAATATACTCATAGATTTCAAATATATAAATATGTATAGAAGGTAGTGTCAGAAAGCAATATTCCTTTTGCTCCCCGCTTGTGAGTATACCTCCACTTTTTTATCCTAGTTTTATTCCAGAGTTTTATTCCTAGTTTTGATTTCTCCTCCTATCCACTGAGGATACCGGTTTTTGGCACTGACACCAGAACACCCTGACCCTGAAGAAGCCTCTGAGAGTACACCAGGACCATCATCATATCCTTAGATGGGGATTATACCGTCCAGGCGCATATACCTGGAGCTGAATATAAGCTCCAGAAAATTGTAAGTGCAATTTTTTCTTCATTTATCACTATCAAGCAATTTAACATACAACACTATATCCGTGTCTTCTCCTCTCTCCCCTATATTTCACTGAGCTTGAGTAGACTACTACAGGCGCTGCTTCCTGACACTACCTTCTATACCTATCGTTCTGCCAGAAAAGAAGAGACTCTGCTTCCAGGGAAGTTCTAGCAGCCATATTACAAGCACTGATACATTCCACTCCCCCCCCTTACTTACATATAAATATGTATATATGTTTCAATTCTACGTGCGTATTTATGTAATATTTTTACATAATTAAGTAATTTTATTGATTGCAATTTGAGGGACCTGCCTGACAACCCAGGCTGAAAGTCCAGATAATTTAATTTGCTAGCACTGTATTTAACCCTGTAACTTTCTATGACACCCTAAAACCTGTACATGGGGGGTACTGTTTTACTTGGGAGACTTCGCTGAACACAAATATTAATGTTGCAAAACAGTAAAACATATCACAGCGATGATATTGTCAGTGAAAGTGAAGTTTTTTTGCATTTTTCACACACAAAACATCACTTTCACTGATGATATAATTGTTGGGATACGTTTTACTGTTTTGAACACTAACACTAATATTTGTGTTCAGCGAAGTCTCCCGAGTATAACAGTACCCCCCATGTACAGGTTTTATAGTGTTTCTGAAAGTTACAGGGTCAAATATAACGCCATTTTTTCACATTGAGATTTTACAGATTGGCTGTGTTGCCTTTGAGAGCTTATAGTAGCCCAGGAATGAGAATTACCCCCCATGATGGCATACCATTTGCAAATTAGGACAACCCAAGTTATTGCAAATGGGGTATGCCCAGTCTTTTTTAGTAGCCACTTAGTCAAAAACACTGGCCAAAGTTAGCGTTCATAATTTTTTTTGCATTTTTAACACACAAACAAATATAAATGCTAACTTTGGCCAGTGTTTGTGACTAAGTGGCTACTAAAAAAGACTGGACATACCCCATATTGAATACCCTGAGTTGTCTACTTTAAAAAAATAAAATAAAAGTACATGTGAGGTGTGATTCAGAAATTTATGACAGATAACAGTGTTACAATGTCACTATTGATAAATTTTAAAAAGGTATATTTTGAAACAGCAATTTCCTACTTGTACTTATAGCCCTATAACTTGCAAAAAACTCAGGACATAATTTTGAATCTATTTAGCAGTTTTTTTCATTAGCTTTTGTAGATAAGTAAAAGATTTTTTCAAGTAAAAGTAAAAAAAGTTTTTTTTTTTCAATTTTTCACCATATTTTATTATTTTTTTTGTAAAGTAAATTATATGACATGATAGAAATAATGGTATGTAAAGAAAGCCCTTTTTGTCCTGAAAAAAAAACAATGTATGGGAACAGTAAATGAGAGAGAGGAAAATTACAGCTAAACACATACACCACAAAAGTGTTAAAACAGCCCTGGTCCTTAATGGAAATCATGGCCAAAACAGCCCGGTCCTTAAGGGGTTAAAAATTATCTAAAATATATAGATGTAAGTTTGCTGCAGACATCTCTATAATATGATAACAAACCCCTAGGCATTAGTGATGTCGCGAACCGTTCGCGAACTTGCCGCGAACGGTTCGCCACGAACCGTTCGCGGCGAACTCCAGTCAGCTGACACATCCCTGCCAATCTCCGGCAGACCCTCCCTCCCAGACCCTCCCACCTCCTGGCCAGCATCCGTGTTGAAGCTGCCTTCAACATGGATGCTGTCGAGGAAGTAGGAGGGTCTGGGAGGGAGGGTCTGCCGGAGATTGGCAGGGATGTGTCAGCTGACTGGAGTTCGCCGCAAACGGTTCATGGCGAACCATTCGCGGCAAGTTTGCAAACGGTTCGCGACATCACTACTAGGCATACCATAAGGTTTGCACTATACCAGTAAAGTTGTGCTATGTCAAAACAGACAAAAGTGTGTGAGGGAGAAGTGGGTGTAGTTCCAATTTTTTTTTTCTGGGCTGCCATACGGCCTCAAAGGCAACACAGCCGTAGATAGCGTAATGGTTAATATCTGTCAACTTCGTAACTTTAGATGAAAAGTGCGTAGCAGATGATAAATTAATTGGATATTATCAAATACTATTAGATGAGAGAGTTTTATGTTGATGTATCATGTAGTAAACCAAAGACAATGAACAGTAGGTAGATTCAGAAAAGCACAAGTAGGACATTTAGTATAAATTACACTGAGGGAAAAAAAGGATAAAACTACCAGGAAACTAACCAATGATATAACAAATAATATAGAAATGCCTAATGACAGGTAGTGTGGCAGACTAAGGCTTGAAATGATGTAATTGAAGCGTGGCCAAAAGGAGGCTGAATGTACTGAACCAAAGTAAAATTTAGTGTAGCCAAACGTAGGTTGAATGTACTGATCCAAATTGAAAATGTAGTGTAGCCAAACGTAGGTTGAATGTACTGATCCAACTTTAAAATGTTTTGTGGCCAAACTTAGGCTGCATGTACAAGACCAAAGTGTATATGTAGCATGAACATAGGCCAAATGTACTGATTCGAAATGAAATGTAGCACAGTTGACCGTAGGCCTCATGTGGTAAATCAAAATAAAAATGTTGGCTGGCCAAACGTAGGCCAAATGTAGAGAGAAAAATTTAAAATGTTGCGTTGACTTACGTAGGCTGAATGTACTGAACCAAAACGAAAATGTATGGCGTCCAAAAGTAGGCAGAATGTACTAAATCAGAGTTACTATGTAGCATGGCCAAATGTACTGAACCACACTGACTATGTTGCCGAACGTAGACCGAGTGCACTGAACCAATTTAAAAATGAAGCGCAGCCAAATGTAATGAGCCCTGGTGAACATGTAACGTGGCCGACCGTAGGCCGAATGTGCTGAACCAAAGTAAAATGTAGCATGACTGAACATGGGTCGAATGCATGGAACCATAGTGAATATGCATTGTGGCCAAACGCAGGATGATTCTACTGAACCATATTGACCATATAGCATGGCCGAGTGTAGGCAGAATGCACTAAACCAATGTACTAAAAAATTTAGCTTTGCCGAATGTGCTGAACAACAGTGAATATGTAGCATGGCTGAACTAAGGCCAAATGTTAAATGTGAAGGAAAATTGAATCGAGGGAGGCTGACTGTGTTTCAGGATCCCTACTCACGAACGAATTCTCCTCCACCAATGCCAGACTGCTATTCTAAGATGGGAAAACAGTGAACCAGGCGTTGTGTGCGGTAACCTAGCAACCAGTATCCAAACGTCGGCAGAACGTCAGGAGGAACTGGGAGGGGATAGACATAGGCCAGCAAAACCTCTCCCACAACTCCAGACATACTGCCTTTACAGATATATATTCAGACAGCCTTTGCGGATGATTACATTTTGGATACGCAAACGATACATCAAATTAAATTTCAGTTTGATTTTCATGCCTTAATGGGACTGTAATTCAGTGTTGTGCTTTTAAGTTGCATGTTTGCAAGATACGTGTTTTCAATTTCCTTTTCAACTTTGAAAAATTCTGATACCCAGTTGGTTTCGATACACAAGTGTAACCTGTTCTCTGCTAATGCCAGAGCAACTAATCCCCGTGTATTTGGCAGAAAAGCATGGGAAATGTTTTAAACAAGGATATGACAGAGGTTCTGCAGGCAAACAATATGATTAAAATGGATCGGAAGACAAGAAGCAGGTATAATCCAGACCTGGGATAATTCCTTTATTAATCATTTCCTAAATGAAGTTCGTGAAATGGTACTCCTTTCAGTTGACAAGAACTCATTTCCCCTGCTCAAATAAACACTAGTGGTTCCAGACTCTGCCGTGTCATGACAAATGACTTCCCATGTGTCAACTAAACGGAAGTTGTTCTTCATAACTAGTTAAATCTGCATCAAATGACATATCCTGTAAATGCTGCTGCTGAACTGCTCTTCCCAGCCTTTAATTCACAAATTCTCATCGTGTCCTGTGGGACCAGGCTTTCTATTTGCATCACTGTTTTCTCAGAACACACAAGGTCACATATTGGAGTTGTTGATTTGGGACAATACATCCTGCTTGAATCCAGGCACAATACACATTCCATGGGTTGCAGCGGCCCCTTAGATGTTATTTTTTTTCTCGCTATAGATCGTGATGTCTCTTGTCTGTCTTGTGGGAAATTACATTACAAGTTCAGGATTAAATTAGAAAAAAAATGTGAACATGGTGTAAAATTTACATCAACACGCCGACTTGATGGGGCTTTCTGTTTGTTTTTCATTTTCAGTTTTATGCTGTTTTTCTGTTGTAGGACAATGTTTATCATGTAACAGATCAAATTAAAATGGTGGATTGTTGATAACTATTAGAGAATAGCACTTGTATTGTCAGATGTATTAAAAATTTACATCAGGGGTTTTATAATAGGAACTGGTAGAAACATTTAAAAGTCCATGATGCGACCACTTTCCTTTACTTGGCATCCAGCTCTATGAAGCTGTTTGCTTCATAAGTTAAGGAATATATTTCACTTTAGGACAATGCTCACCTCCGCACAACAGTGAAATCAGTTTTCAGCCTTCATTAAAGACTGTGCATACTGCTTTGCTCTTCACAGGAGATATAAAAATAATATGAAATACAAGAGTATATGTCAGTTTACAGGAAGAATAGTACACTCACTTATGCTTTGAAAAATATATATAATTCAGGGCTTTAAATATACAAATTTACAAATATACAGTCGGCTATCATTGTACCCATTTTCATTTTTTTTCAGCGATACTTTGTAAACCATTTAGTTTAGCAAATACGGTGTACAAGGCTTTTACAAATGTTGTTGAAGTCTAACATATACCTCATTAAATCGCTCTAGAGAGGGCAAATTTTAAAAACATTTGTGTTACAAGATAAGACTGTAGAGTTTCACAAATATTGATATACTGTTTTTAAAAGAGTCTATTAACAGGCAGTGTGGCTCCAATGGGTATAGCCAGCCCTGAAGTGACCCAGATTTTTTAATTTTTGATAAGACAGACAGAAATCATTCAACAAGTAACAGATATCACATCACATCACACTTGTACATCCCCATCCAACATTAAACTAGTATGAAGGTAACAATACTTTGGGAATATGTATAAGAAGCCAAAAGATTAGGGGAGTTTACTTTTTTATGCCCTTTTACTCAACCCTCCTTGATCTCTACTGTAATGCAGAATTGTATTGACTGGTTTAAATGACCCACTTTGCATGGGTTTGACAGAGTTCTAATCTCTAAATCAACAGACAAATGCCAGATAGCATATTATCCCACTGATTAGAACCTTTTTCACATTAACAGTACAGAAAAGTGCAAACCCCCCACACCCATGCTACAATTAAAAGGTTACTCCAACCGGAAACCAATGGTTTCATAAAACTCTGCTTTTAGTCAGGGTTAGCCTCTCTGAAGTGCTACACCCCCCACAACTTAAATAAAATAAAAGCTAAAACATACCTCTGTCCCATTGCTGAGTCCAAGTTCTCCTATCAGCCTGACCCTCCTTGGCTGATGTCACTTCCATTCATTGGACGGGGAGGTCGGTCAAGGAGGACACATTGAGGGGAGGACTAGGGGCTATCTGGCGCCAGCAATCAGTTGCCAATTTTGCACAGAACTGACATTAGCCAGCCTGGAACTTTATTCTTCTCTGGCTAATGACTTTGCCGGGGGTGTAAGGGGTTAAACGCTGCACATACAGACTCCAGGCACCATTACCACTGCACCATAACACTGTTTTTGTTGCCCCGCTAGTCTGAAGCTTTCATGTCATAAATGTTGGACTTTTAGAATGATCTTTCTGGTCAAGTTTTTATTTTTATTTTTTTATTATTATTATTATCTGGCTGAGATTTGTACCATGAGTACCGGAGGAGTAGGAGTACCTATTTCTTAGCCACCCAAAGTACATCCAGCTAATTCATACTTCATTAATACTTTATGAATATAGATGAGTCTTTCCAAGAAACACTTTGCAAAATAACAAATTACCCACAAGAAACTCAGTATGGTGTACTCATGTTTGTTGTAATTCATTGCCATACAGATCTAGATCAGTGGTATCCAGCTTGGTTCTCCAGAAGTTACTAGACCATATCTTCCTCTCTCTGAAAACCACTAACTGGCAAGTTATCTCTATCTCACAGAGATGGCAGTGCATGCTGGGAGATGCAGTACAACAACAGGTGGAAGGCCAAAGTTGTGGTCCCCTGATATAGATCATCTTTCGGTGGCCTACTTGTACTGCCAAACCAGTGGGTCATTTTACCCAACTGACTAATTAAAAAGCTCAGTCTGGTAGTTTTTTGACATTTATGTTTTTTCTGCAGACCCAAGGGATTGTTCCCAGGCTGAGCCAAAAAAAAAACAAACAACATAAATAAAAATAAACAAACATCTAAATATCGTGTTACCAATGAGTCACCTTGAAGTTCTGCTCTCTATTTTAAGTGACTGGTTGATTATAGAAAGCACAATATGACAGGGGAAAAGACAAAAATAGTAGTTATGACCCTTTAAATATATCCAGTTGTGCTAAATCTGTTTGGTTCCCAGAACTAATAATAAATGTATATACGTATACAAAAATAAATAAATTCATGAAACAAGAAAGAATATCTGTCTTCTGTCTTTTACAATCTTTTCTTGAGGAGTCTAGACTGATCACGCAGTTTTTCTGAACTGCAGACTAGTGTTCAAAAGAAAGGAAAACATGTATAGAAATACATACGTGTATATATATTTATATATATTAGATCAGTAGATAA